CAAAAAGAGCTTCCTTCACGCATTCAACGCTGGTTCCCAATCAGCCAAATGGTACCTGGCGGCTACAAAAGGGGAACCACCTTTCGCTGACAAGAAAACTCCAAGACAAACCTAAGTCAGCCTTCATCGACTACGACTAGGGTACAAGTGCTCCTGGCAGATGATCGGAAATGACGTCATGGAATGCACCTACTGTCAGGAGCCAGCAGCCAACCCACTTGAACACTATCTCCTCGACTGCGAAGTCACACAAAGCCTCCGAAACAGAACTCAAATCTCCCAAGAAACACACACAACACCAGCGGCCACTCTAACCCGAAAGGCCCAAACAGACCACATTCACCACCTACTCCGGGTCATCACACGATACCCACCACCCAGATAGCTTAGAAAGTATCCTCTCCCAGCAAGTGCGGACCCCAGTTCGGGGGGCGCGCCACTCCGAAACTGACCACGTCCAAGAGTGGGGGTTGGTGGTAAGCGTCCACTGATCAGGGGTCCGCTCACACTTGCAACCTGCAGCATCCTTCCAATCTGCAGGTGGGACCACCTCCAATCCCAATCCGGTCTGGCTGCTCCTGGAGCTCCAGCCGGAACCACCAAACGGGCCGCCTATAGGCAAAGGCCCGTGTCGGACTACGGTCCGACAATCTCAACAACAACAACAACTGAGGAGTTCGTTGAAAAATCAACGCTATGGATAGAAATTCTAGTGTGACCGCAGCTTTAGAGTTCCAAGAGATGGACCGAGTGATGGATGCTGGGTTCAAAATCAGTCTAAGTCTAATCACAAAGGCAACCCAACCAATCGCCAAAACTTTCTTGTGTTTTACTAATATGAATTAAAGACAGATGTGAGTGTATGATATCTCAGCTCAGGGCAAAATGCAGACATGAAGAATTAATTCCTTCCCTAAGGGTTTACAAGTAGGATACATATTAACCTACCTACTTTTAAGGAGGAATAGTTTGGTATCAGTGCAGGGGTACATAGAGTCCTCAGACGAGTGTATTAGAACTATTAATAAAAAATAGTGATTGCCAATGTATGACTTTTACAGGCCAGTGCGTTTAACTTACATAGTCTATAGTGCTACAGAGCAGGGGTACTCAATTGACGGACAGCGGTTAGCTTTGGTGCAGATCCCAGCATATACTGTATATATATATATATATATATATATATATATATATATATATATATATATATATATATATATATATATATATATATATATATATATATATATATATATATATATATATATATATATATATATATATATATATATATATATATGTATATATACTGTCAATGTATACCGCCTTAACAACATCAACCTTGAGAAGTCGACTTGTGAAAGAGACCTAGGGGTACTTGTAAGCCCGGACCTACGGCCTAGAAAACAGTGCGGTAATGTTCGAAATAAGGCAAACAGAGTATTGGGTTTTATATCTAGAAGTGTAAGTAACAAGAGTGCAGAGGTCTTATTGCAACTATATCTTGCGCTAGTCAGGCCGCACCTCGATTATGCGGTTCAGTTCTGGTGCCCTTATTATAGAATGGATATCAATTCACTAGAGTCGGTGAAGCGAAGAATGACGCAAATGATTCCGGGACTTAGAAACCTTCCATATCAGGATAGGTTAAAGAAACTAAACTTGCATTCCCTAGAAAGACGAAGAGTGCGGGGAGATATGATAGAAGTATTTAAGTGGGTGAAAGGAATCAATAAAGGGGATATAGATAAAGTTCTTATAATATCCGAGCAGGATAGGACTCGGAGCAACGGATTTAAGTTGGATAAGTTTAGGTTTAGGAGGGAGATAGGAAGGAACTGGTTCACAAATAGGGTGGTGGACGAGTGGAACAAGCTTAGCAATTTTGTAGTAAGTGCTGAAGGTATGGTCAAAGTTCCTTAATTTGGTGGTGGTATTGACAAAATATACCATGACCTTGCCTGAACTCTTGACAGCATATATCGCGAAAAACTGAAAATTATTCGTTTGCAGATGATGCTACTGTAACTTTTCAGAGTACAGTAATTAAGAATCGGCAAAACGTTAGAGGATACAGCTTAGATGTACTAATAGCAAGGAAGCGTATAACCTGTTCCAACGTAATGAAGGCTTCCTTACCTTAAGCTAAATGTTAGAAACATCCGGGTATTTACATTAACAATGAAGAATGAAGGAAGTGAATCTTGCTATTAAGCACTCATACCTATCGGACCCACTTTAATTTTTCACTAATACAGACCCCCACAAGGTACAACTCCATCGAGTGCACGAATTTGCGTTACCATGTTGTGGTGTGGGGGCTCGAACGAACCACTTTCAAATTGCTCGGATGGGTATAAATTTCCCATCTTTTAACCTCAAATGAGGAATTTGAAAGTGGATCGTCATTAAACGTGCACATTCAATTCTTCACAGGTGATGGGCTGGTTCTTTACCAGAGTGGGGTATGAGCGACCCCTACACCCAATAGTTCATTCCCATTTTTTTTTGCTCCCTTTAATTAATCTTCTAATGAGCAACTATGGGCAGACATAATAAAAGATTTTCGGGCGTTCCTGTTGGATCATTGTCACCTTAAGGTCCAACCCAGTGTTTCTCAAACTGGGGGCCATGGCCCCTAAGGGGGTCACGGCAAGATTTTAGGGGGGAAATGGCAGGCTAGTGTAAAGTAGTATATGTTTGGAGAAAATGTGGAAACTCTGATTCAACTTTTTTTTTTGTTACTTTGCCTTGTTAGGGGAGAAATCTTTTTTTGTATTCGTCTTTTTTATTTTGTCATTGTGTGTAATCATAATACCCATACGGTACAGTTTGGATATTTACAAAGTATGGTGCAATAGCTATTTTTTTTCCGATGGATTCGCTTAGATTGCACGATTCTAGTTCCTGTTCAGACGAATTCCTTGATCTCAGAACGATACTGCTCCCAGAGACCTGTATGAAGAAAAATCCCCGACTGTATTCTGATGCTCAATGTATCAGTCATATCCAAAAGTTAGTGAGATCGCACTTCGACTCCTCTTGCCATTTTCTACTACTTATTTATGTGAATCTGGTTTCTCCACCCTTCTTCATATAGAGAATAAAAGCCGAAACCGGTTACATGTATACTCAGACATGAGATGTGCTTTATCAGTGACTCAACTCAACCTCGAATCAGTCGACTGACTGAAAGGACATAATGTCATTCTTTTCATAGAATTGTAACAAAATAGGCACACTGTTTGATGATTGAAAACATTCAAATAAAGGAAGAGAACCAAAACAGTTCATTTTCATCATTATTTGTGAGGGGCTTGGGAGAGAACTGAAGGGGGGCCACGAGGATGTTGAGAGTTCCTCATGGGGGGAATGAAGTGAAAAAGTTTGAGAAACAGTGGTCCAACCGCATTGCCTCCCATACACAAGCATCCAACAATTATCATCTGAAACTATGAAGACGAGTTTGCCTCTTTCAGAATGGAGTGGATCATTGTACTCTTACTACTATACAATACCACTGCATGGACTTTTCCATTGATGGAAGTTCTGTAGCCAGCTACATTATTTGCACCAGTTGGACGTGTCTTGATTGTGGAAGATGTTGTAACGGTCAAGTACGATCTCCATTGATTTTTGCACATACCGTTGCATATGAGTTTCATTGCAATCCATCATGAAGCAGCTATGGTTACTCTCAGAGACCTAAGACAGCAACTCGACAAACCTGCCACAATTGAATAAACAATTGATTTTCAAAATATCCTCATTGGTAAAGTGATCTCTTCAACTTTATGAGTATAGTTTCCAGTACTTTATTTGGGACTGCATGAATATTGTAAAAAAAAAAACTGAAATAATACAAAACAGGGTCCTAAATCACATAAACAAAGTCAGTCAGTCATTGGAATCAGAAGGTAATACACTCATTAGTAAAACTTACCAACTGACTAGATTAGTGTATGACCTGGCACTCTCTGTACCTATCCTAGAGTGGTTTATACTTTTTACTGAGCATTTGCATGCCACCGAAACACCTGTTTATGCTTTAAATGATCCGTCCCTCATAAGACTTTTTAAAAGTGTGGTGCTTTCCAACTTTGAGTAATTCTGTTAGTCCCCGAGAAATGTTAAAGACTGACAATTGATTGAGAACGTCCAAAAGAGGGCGAAAATCTGATGTCGACAATTAATTATGCACCTCACGTACCAAAAGAGAAAAGAACGTTTCCTTATATCAAGTTTATGCTATAGAAGGGCAAGGGGTGATTTAATAGAAAAAAAAATCAAAGGACAAAATTTGTCTTGTATACATATCATGGAGCTAAAGAAGCCAAAAATACAGAAAATTGTCAGGGATAACTTCTTTGGAGTAAGGGTTGCGATCTCTTGGATTGACCAGCCAGAGAATGTGAGAAAAATGACTGTGCGCATATTTAAGACCAGACTTGACCAACAGTGTGAAACAAAATTGACCGACTGCTCGTAAGTTGATCGTTGGAAAAGAGGATAAGGAAGCAAATAATATTATAATAAATAGGGGCTGTAAGCTGGCTCATTCCTACTATTTTGTGATCGCCTCCACAGTAATGATAGACAATCCGGAATATGCCGAATTTTCATATACATAATGAACAAACTAAAATTTACAGGAAATGATGCCACCGCAAACTTCCACTACTAGTCAAACTGCTTCCACACACCCCCGTCTTTACTCTCCACGAGTCATCCTACAAACCACTGTACAACTGAAAATAATTTTTTTGCTAGGATTAATATTACAGGTATTTTAAACCCTAGTCATCACTCACTCTGCTGCACTTTCCCATTTCTTCATACTATAGATTGCATCTTTCTCTATCTTCTGTTCTATTAACCACTACTGCCAAGTGGTTTCTGCTTTAGGTTTATATGCAATCTCTCTGTATCTCTTTTCCAATAAACTGATTAATATCATCTAAACCACTCCACAAGCAATAAATTTTCTCCAGGTGACTTACTTCTTGATGGCATCCATGCCGAAAGGAAGATTGTAACAGTTTAACTGTTGACTCTGCACCTTGGCTTCCTCTTCATTCTCTGGGTTCTGTAGGTGAGCATTCCACTTCAGAAGGCCACGTTCTTCTGGAGTTCCTGACAAAGAGAAATCGATCACATTGCCTTTGTTTTATATATTTCTTTTTAATGGACAAGTTGATTATTATTCTGGTTAATGATACCCAGCTAATTCTTATTACCCTTGTGATGTACAAAAGTAAGATAAGTGAAATTATCTTACCTATAAAAAACAATGTACCAGGAAATGCACTCCCAGCTGTGAATTTTGAAGGTATCTGGGCTAATTCCTTATACAGAAACACTTATTAAGTTATGAAATATCATGAGATTCATATGAATACACACTAAATCTATAAATTACCCACATATATTTATAAATCATAGTGCGAGCTTGTTTGTTTGGATATTCGCTTTGCACGGCTACAGTTTTGAAGATAGTGAGTTGAAATTTGGGAAGCAGATGTGCATACATGTAAGAATTCTCACAAGTGGAATATTGTGAGCATAACCCCATTGGATGGCTCCCCGTCCCAATAGGGGAAATCCCCTCACGAAAAACATATTTTTGACTGTTTCTTTGCTGTGCACGGTAGCCTTTCTTAAGACAGAGTTGAAATTTGACATGGTTCTGTAAATAGTCCTGAAAATATGTTTACGAATGTCAAAATTGGGGTGTTGGCCCCCCTGAGCGCATCCACAATTTTTTGAAGGTTCACTTTTTAATATAAAGAGAAGAAATTTGAAATGATTATGTTTGCTTCCTCCCACTTTTTTTTAATGGGGGTCAGCCCACCCGGGCAGAGGTCACCAACCCACACCGGACCTGGAGGGAGGGGGCAAAAAAGACAAAAGAAGAAACAATTTGTACCGTCAAAAATAAATACAGAAATTGAAAAATAAAACAGATCAAGAGTGAGAAACGATATGTATGTTGTGTTGTCAAAGAAAGAGATACAATTGAGACCCTGCAATTGTGTGTAAATTAGGCAAGAAATCAGACAGATGAGCAAGCTGGGACTTGGTCATAATTTCATCCCTGACAGTAAAACCTCTCTGTTTGATAGCTGCCTACTACCTACTACTGTACCTACCATTCAATCACCCACGACTGCCCCAAAGCAGTTAGCCACTACCACTATATACACCCATGTTTACCATTCTTTTGAAATTAAAACAAATGTATGGTGGAGCAGATGAAAAATTATTCATACAATTATATTAAAGCAGTGAGTGATTTAGTGAGAGAATTGTACAGTATGTGTTCTTCCTTTCACGACTGTGCATCAGTTGACCACCCGTCACTCGCTACAACACCTTGCCATCCACAACCACCACCGTAAATTTTCTCAGCCTACAGATCATTTCCTTCAGTCTTCTCTCTCACATGACGGTCTTTCTCTTGTAACTCAGCAAGTGTCAGAGGAATATTCAACTGATTCTGGTCTCCAGACGCACAATAAAAGTTTCACTTTCTGCATAACACTGCCTCTCACACGAATTATTCTGATCACAGTACAGGAGTGGACAGTCATCATCTTCCATGCTACATAACAATGGATTGTGCAAAAAAAAAAAAATAAGGTGAAAATAATAACTTTCTTAACTTCTAGCTTGAAGTAATCAACACCTGGGTTTTACATTTTTGTTCTTAAAATAACATCGCGGTAAAACAGAAATGTTGCTATAATCGAAGATTATTTATCATAAACATTAAAATTGTAATAGATAAAAAATGTAACATGCAAATTAATGATTACCGAGGACCACCTGTACTCCCTCTGTTTAACAGAAAACTCAGTTAAATCATCATAATTCCTCAGAACTGGAACTAATAAATAAAATTTACTGAGTAACATTCTGAAAATTCTTAAAGAACTTGCGATATTTATAGTACTGTGTGTACCAGTGTACCCTACACACCACATGAATGAACTAAAGATATAACGCTTGATGGAGTGTCCTCTCAGAGTTCACCTGGTATAGTGGTGTCGAGGATAAAGCCGAGTAAACCCCCCACCAACACGGAGGTCTGCAGCAGCACTGTCAGGATCTGGTCAACTGTGTGTTCCCCAGTCTGGATCACATCAGGGTTCATGACCAGCCACTGGAAGATGATTAAATTGCATTATGTTGTCTCTCCTATATATTTTTCTTTCTCTGAACCTCTACTGATGTATCACTATGTTCTCAGTATGTCACTATTCCTCTTTAGTCATCTATTTATATTTACCTACATATCTGTACATTTCCCTGTATATATATATATATATATATATATATATATATATATATATATATATATATATATATATATATATATATATATCCACTTATTTTTCTATGATCTATCTCTCTATCTTACTTAAGGCATCAACTATAGTATTTCCATGCTAACCCGGTCCGTAAGCCACGCCCTTCGTCTATAGCTACAAATGGCTGATTGGTTCATAGAAAATGTTCGCGTAGCTATCTATTTATTCAAAATAAAAGTGTTCACAATTGGTAAACAGATCTGTTATTCTCTAAAATAATGTTGAATATCTGCAATATCAAAATTCAAATGATTTCAAGGCATTAACACTTCAAAGAAGATGTTCGAAAATTTCAAATATTCATCTTAAAAAGCCTTTTCATTATTTCTTTGTTTTGTACCAAACATAAAGCAACCAGAAACGTTTGATACCAAACATATAGCACAATAGGTAATGAACTACAGTTTGTACGGCTGGATATATCCAAAATCTTTTACATAACTGATTATACTCGGATATAAATATGAGCAGTCCCTGGAGTGATAAAGCACACAGGAGAACAACTACAGGACTTGGCGGTCACATCGATGGGGTGTCAGCTTACAGATCAGCTGAACACTTGACTCGTACTCCAGTATGGCAGAGCTGGCATTAGAATACGATGACACAAATTCTATACCTCGTCCATCATTGGCCGAGATTTTCGTTCATTTGCACCAAATTTGTTGATACTTGATGACAGAGGATGAAAATGTTAAACCTTTATATCGCTTCTTAATAATTCGTAGCATATATTATTACTTAAATCTTGTCACAACGCAACATTTAAGATGGGGAAATGCTAAGCCAGTGGATAAAGTATTTAGTAATCTGCTGGTGAGTGTGAGAAATGTTGACATCTGTTGATAGTTGAGAGTTGACGTCTGCTGGCTATTGTACAACTTGTGCATTGAGATGCGCGAAATTCCCGCCAAGTCCAGTGGCTGATCCGCTGAGTGTTTTACCTCTCCACGGACTGTACGTATTTATATCCGAGTTTTATCAGTTATATAAATGATTTGGGATATAACCAGCTGCACAAATTGTAGTTCATTACCAATTGTGCTATACTTTTGCTAACATTTGTATCTGTTTGCTTTATGTTTCGTACAAAAAAAAGATATAATGAAAATACTTCATTCGAAAGCGATATTTAAAATTTTCGAACATCCTCTCTGAAGTGCTTGTGCCTTAAAATTATTTGCATTTTCATATTCCAGAAATATAACATTATTTTAGAGATTAACACGTTTGCTTATCAATTGTGAACGCATTTATACAAAATGGACAGCTACACTAACATTTTCTAGGAACTAGATTAGCGTGGAAATACTGTAGAAATGTCTTCCTGAGTTAACTTTATAATTTCTTAGTATCCAAGGCTCTTTCTGTAGCCAGACTTTACGATTTCAGCTATCTCCTAACCATAACTGTAACAATTTCCATCCCTGACACGGCTAACCACCTCCCGCAATCGCCGTGGCGATATCTTAGCTGGAGATTTTTTTTTGTTCTTGCCGGACCACCTGGTCAATAATAATACCCTCAGATCCATGCAATAATGGTGTAAAGCTTCCGGACTCTACCTGCTTCCATTTTGGAGCTATGCATTGATACACAGACACAGACACAGTGAGACATCCGGGAAACCGTAGTTGATAGTATTACAAACATGCACAAACTTCGGATATTTGTAATATATATATATGAACATTTATAATAATGTCATGTTCTTTAGAGTAAATTTGTATAAAATTTAGTTCAGAGACAACGATTTCTTGCCAAGCCAAGCCGCCCAGTAAAATACAATAGTATTCCCGGCAAGCTGTGAGTACCTGGGTAGGCCGATCAGTGAGTGTGAGTACCTTTTGGCCTTAGCCAATAACAAGAGGTCTATAAGACGTGGCGTCACCAGAATGTAGCATCCCTTACAAAGCACAAGTGAACATTTTTTCAAACTCAGTTTGGCTTTGGAGTTGTAATATTGTTGACGTGTTGAGTCGGTTTTTGCTTCATCGTCTTAGATATAGTGTGTATATTATATCGGTAAATTCCTTATTTCGAGGTCATAATTTAAGACCAATACCCTTTTAATTAATCAGCTTTTTTCAATGAATGTACTGTGTAGAACATCATAAGCGCCTTCGTGTTATGTAGTGAATAGTGACTGTTAATCCTCCTCATAAACTTTCTCCTGTTCCTTATGTGTTAAGTGATGTAATAAATTAACGAATTTTAAGCCAACTATCCCATATCCCTTCATCCATACAATTATTAACCATCTTTTCTCTTTTTCCCCTCTGCATCTCATCTCCCATCTCACTCTCTCTCAACCCTTGGGGGTGGGACAGTGAGAGGGGAAATTGACCTTTCTTCTCTCCTCCTTCATTCACTCTCATCTCTCTTTCTCTTTACCAAAGAAAGACTAGACAGAGAAACAGAAAGAGTAAGAGAATTAAGTAGAGTAAGTAAAAGTGAAATGATGTGAAATAATAAGATAGAGAAAAAAGTGCTTATAAAAAAAAAGATGAAAGAAAGAACATTTAATACACAGTTTCAGGTTTCGAACTGCTTCCATTTTGGAGCTTTGGCTGCAACAGAAAGACAGTCACACTCACAGATAGACAGACAGACAGAAAAACTATTTGCTTTCGCTTTTTTTTAATGGGGATTAGCCCACCCAGGCACGGGTCACTGACCCATATCGAGGCTGGGGAATATAATAATAATAATAATTATAATAATAATAATAATAATAATAATAATAATAATAATAATAATAATAATAATAATAATAATAATAATAATAATAATAATAATAATAATAATAATAATAATAATAATAATAATAATAATATTAATAATAATAATAATAATAATAATAATAATAAAAATAAAAATAATAATAATAATAATAATAATAATAATAATAATAATAACAATAAAAATAATAATAATAATAATAATAATAATAATAAAGAGCCATAAAAAAAATCGAGTGAGAAACGATATATGTATGTTGTGTCGTCAAAGTAAGAGAAACAATTGAGACCCTATGTATTAGCCTCTGTCACATTAATATTACATAAATATGAGCTAATGACATATATTCATTATATACATTCTATCACCCAGACTATTATGCATACAGCTACGTAAGCATTTGTTCTTTCACACCTCCTAGGGTGGACAGCCCATAAACATTTGTTCTTTCACACCTTCTCAGGTGTACAGCCCATAAAACTACAAATTCAACCCCCAGTGTGTGGGTAGGCTGTTTAATTAATGGCCGTATTGAAGTGTGGTTACTCTCTAACCACCAGACTCAAGAGAGTTCAGCCCAGTTCTCACCAGTTCGCAGCCTGACAGGATGCCCTAAAGTCGTGAGACCAGCTCTCTAAATATATCAACAAATTACAAGCTAATAGCTAATGCTCATTAGTCAGCCAATACCAAATAATTGTACAGACATTACTACCCAATATAACTAGAAAATCACCACATGTGTTTACAATAAACCAAGGAACAACGAGTGAAGAGAACATTACCTGTGTGTCTTGTTTAACTTACAAGCTAAGTTAATTACAAGTACAACCCAACATAGTTGTGACGATTTCAACTATCATCTAATCTATAACTGTTTCAAAGGTGACATGCCTTGAGATTACCTGATATCTCACTCAGCTGCATCAAAGGTACCAGGCAAGTGTTAACAAGTGAGATAGTTTGATATCCAATCACAGCTAAAACACCTGCAATTGTGTGTAAATGAGGCAGAAAGTCATATCAGCAACCTGGGAAGTGATCACAATTTTCATGATATCATATGGCAGCAGCGTCTACTATTAGACAATAAATTATGCTTCCAATATCTTCCCAGGCGGTAGTACTGAACCTCCCTGTTTGATAGTTGCCTAATGTATAACCTTGACTGTCACAGTTGCCCTTCCTGACACGGGTAATCACCTCAGCTTAATCTAACCTAACCTAACCTAACCTAACCTAACCTAACCTAACCAAGCTGACAGGGCCCTGAGGGTGCATTAGGCATAATGCTGATTGGCTGAAGACTAGAGTTTTGTACCTAGCAGCAAGTGCGCTCAATTTAAAAAAAAAGAGAGTTTGCGTTTGGAAGTGTTTAAGTGTAGACGTGTGTGTGTGGGTCGGTGGGTTCAGCATGGCGAGATATTTATAAGTAAGTGTACCCTTTAGTAAACTCCCTTTAGGGCTTAGGCGATGTTATATTGTAAGCTAGCTAGGAGTGTAGGCTATTGTTTTGAAAGTCGTTAATAAATGAAGAACCATAAAGAATAGTTCTCAATTCCCTTTCTCTGTGTTTGGAGTAAAATATTCCCCATGAGTAATAACATAACTATCATATACTTTCCCTGTGTTTAAGCTATTGCATGTCAGCCATATTCCCCTAGTTATCATTCTTCGCTCTCTCCTCATTCTCCCCTCCTACCGGTTACCAGAACGACCC